AGGTGAAGGTGTAGGTGTAGGTGTAGATGGTATGCTGTGGAGGTGTAGTGTGGTATGGTGTAGAGCTGTAGTGTGGCATGGTGTAGAGGTGTGCCGTGGCGTAGGGGTGTAGAGGATGTGGTGTAGAAGTGTATTGTGGTTGGTGTGGAAGTGTAGTTTGGTAAGGTGTGGAGATGTAGTGTGGTGTGGCGTTCTTTGATGTCAGTTTTGGCTCATGTGAAGTTCGACGTTTGACCTTTCTCTAACTGTGCTTCTTATGCTTCTTATCTTCTATAGAACGTAAAGAATTGCACGAAACGGAGTGACTGCGCTACTCGTATGTGCTGTGCTGGTTTGGTAGGAAACAACCCAGGAAATTGTGTTAAAGAACCTCAGGAAGGAATGTCATGTTACCTCGCGATACGTGTAAGTATGACAAACATATTAGGAAGGGTTTTATCTCGGATTTTAGGGTTTTCCTGACTAAACCCGTCTTCAAGTGACCAGCCTGTTGATTATGAGGATCTTTCTCTCAGGTCTTCCGCTTTCCCTCCTTCCAAAAAAAACCCACCACTGTTAGGCCTTACGTCTTGGTCCTATGCTGCAGCCTTGTTTCCACCATTATGAATTAAAATCATATGTAGTAAAATATCCACAAAGTTTTTTTCTAGTGAGACTATTAGCACGAGAGATCGAAAATGACGTCTTTTGATGGTTATCTTTCTCTACAGCCTACCTCTAAAACCCAATGCCCATGTGTTCTTGGTACGACGTGCACTCAAAATCCCACGAACCGGCACAAGTTTACATGTGTCAGGTTGACACATGACATACAAGCAGACGAAATAGAATCTGAAAATACTTATTATTAAGTAATCAGGTCTATCTAGGCGATTTGTTTCTTGAGGTTTGAATAAATTTTGTCGATTTGAATTGATTGAATTGAATCTTGAAAATTGAATCTTGATTTTGTGTTTGTGTGTGTTTTACTACACTATTATTATTGCTATAGTGTTGTTAGACTGGAGAAATAAAAAAACGCGCGCGTGTGCTGTGTGCAGTTATAAAGCACGCGGGGAGAAGTGTTAGGAGAAGCACGACGCGTGACGGAGTGCTTCTCGMCTCTTCTCGAGTGTTCTGCCAATCCCCAAGTGCTTTATAACTCCCCACAGCACAGCAAGCAAGTTTGTTACTTCTTTTATAAAATGCAAAGGGCGCGTGCGTGCTGTGTGCTCTCATAAAGCACGCGCTCCCAACCAATCAGAATGCGAGATTCATAACAGTTATTTTATAATAGTCTTTTACTCTATGGGTCGGACTCTTGACTGGTTGACTACGGCCTCAATAGACCCTTTTCGAGTTCCAAATTACCGCTGTGTTTCTTGATTACAGACTCATTTACTCAGGCTTAGCCTTGATTTTGTGAAGAATATATTCAGTGTTCCAGTCAAGGTCCGTCAAGTTTCAAAGTATTCGTATCGTTGAAGTTGTGCATTCTTTACTTTACCGTTGGTATTTGCGAGTAATTAGACACTGATTCGAGGCTTAGCCTGAGTAAATGAGTCTGTAATCAAGAAACACATCGGTAATTTGGAACTCGAAACTGGAGTATTAAAGGTATTTGTTTGTCTAATTAAAAACAAATAGATAATAATACAAAAAAGTAAATGTGTCTTTTCTTTTGTGGTGAGGTGGCTGTATTTGTACCCTTTGTTTTGTCCTTAGACTTGCCACAAGTCGACTACTTTTTTGGCAAAGACGAAAAAAAGACTTCTCGTGAAGCAGTGGCACTTTTAAAACCTTACGCCGCCACCACATTTTGGTGGAATCGGTTACGTATTGCAGTCTGCGCTTCTTTTAGTTGCGGGAATTGAAGGTGTGCAATGAAGAGACATTTTAAAATAACGTTTATGACAGAGGTAGAATTATTAGAGACATTTAAAATCAGGTTAACCGCTAACTGCTAGGGATCAGGCCCAGAGACATGACCACAAACACGGAGAAACACTTATCATCAATGAAATTCAATATGGCGGCTCTTCCAGCCACAACTTCCTTATGGCAGAGGTAGAATCACTAGAGACATTTAAAATCAGGTTTACCGCTAACTGATAGGGATCAGGCCCAGAGACATGACCGCAAACTTCGAGAAACACTTAGCATCAATGAAATTCAATATGGCGGCTCTTCCAGCCACAACTTYACAACTGCAGATTGAGGCTTGTGGTACCTAGCAAGAACGTCGTGCTAAAGCTCGCTACTGTTGAATGGAAGACCGCTAACCCATGTCAGCAGCAATTACAAAAAAGAAGCATTGACACCCAACCATTTTCTCCTCCTACCATCTGATGCCGCTATGGCTGATCAGGCCTTTGCAGCCGCAAATGATTGAAGCATGCGCAAAATACTTTTGTATATACCGCGGGGTTGACTTAACGCCAAGAATTTTGAGAAAGAACATTCGCAACGTTCCTGATGCAGCTCTAGTCCTAGTCATTGACGGAAACACTCCCTGTGGGAGGTTCGCGCCGAAATAAGTAGTTATAAATTTACACTAATAGGAGACGACTCGTCTTAGGATTTGTTGTATAAATGACGGCAGGAAAATACTTTTCAGTTTCACTACGAAGTTGTTTTATATGTCCTACCGCAATACTTCATAAGCCGGTAAAATATCACTCACGGTTCGACTCAATTATTTTCTTAACCAATCAATAAACATTTTGGGCTTGTGATATTTACCCAGTATTCTTTGCGGAGATTTAAAGAAACGCATGTTTAGAGAACATAACGAGAACATCTTTGCAGGGCTCATCATCGCGCAGCGGGAATACCATTCTATCTCAGCATCATTAAGGCATGGCTCTCAGATGAAAAACTGATTAGCTATATCAAAGCCAGTTTTCTACGAATCTTCCCCAAACTTGGCAAGTTAATGTCTTTTGTGAAAAGAAGGAACCTTAGAGCCTTGGTTACCATGGAAACTAAGTCACGTGACCACAAGGCCGCCATCTTGGATTTTTAAACAAGCCGTTTGTAAACGTACCAAAACATCTTTAAAAGTCATGAGAATGCAGATTACTATTCATATTTACGATGCCTGTATGGATCTAATTGGATATCTTGGAAACTATTTTAAGTTTAATTTTTAGAATATTTTCTATTCTTTCCAAAAAATTAAAAATATTCTAAGAATTAAACTTAATATAATTTCCAAGATATCCAATTAGATCCATATAGGTATTGCAAATATCAAAAGGAATATGGATTTTCAGGACTTTTGAAGTAGTTTCAATACGACTACAAAGGATTTAAAAAAAAAACCAAGATGGCGGCCTTGTGGTCACGTGACCTGGTTTCCATGGTAACAGATATGCGGTAATTGCTTGCCTTGAAGAATTACTACTACGAGCCAAATTTGGGAAAGATTCATAGTAAACTGTCAAAGATATAAATAAATAACTGATTTTCCATCACTTCCTCAAAAGAGCCATGCCTTAATGGTGCTGAGATACACATAGGACTGTGGACTTGCACAAACACTTTACGTGTCCCTACCCCCTAACACTGATCAGATGTTGTGTGTGAAAATGAACACAACAGAAATGGAAAAGGTAAGTCTAAATGAGTAAAAAGGCACGTGACCTATCAGTGCAAGGCTCCAATTGGCTAAATAATGGAAGTTTTAATGGTAACCTGGGTACCAAAAGCCCTCCTCCCCAAACCCCTCACGGGCTCTGGTACCCAGGGCAGGTTCTTGGGGGCTTCTGGTCTCAATAGTTTGATATCGTTCGTTAATGAGGAGAACAAATATTACCAAGTGTACAGGTACAGCAATTTATCGCAAAGTAAAGAAACCTTAAAAAATCTAGAGAATTTATTCAAATCTCAAAAAGCAAATCGCCTAACTAGACTCCACAATCAAAATGGAGGTATGTATTCAGCTTCTATCTCGTCTGGCTCGAAAACAACCTTGACACATCTGAACTTCCGGTCCGTGTTGTTTGGGTCGCTGTTGTCGTATCCGTAAGAACAAGTTGTACCAAGAATACATGAGCACTGGGTCTTGGAGCTGGGCTGTGGAGAAAGAATTGAAAAGGATTGAATGGGTTCCTTGTGGTGAGGTAACAATTAATAGGTCTCATTTCTGAACACATGCTTGGTTTTTAAAGAGGAGGGAATGTGTATAATGTAGATAAAAATTAACCTCTTCTAAGGTGGTTGTCATACTTACACGTATCGCGGGATAACATTTCTGTCCTAACTGAGGTTGATAAGCACACGCTCCTGGGTACTTGTGAGACACACCAGCACAGCACTCACGCTTACCACAGTCTCCATGACTCCAGCACTTGTCTCTAATCTGGAGGAAACATGAAGTACTGTTAGTAACATATATGATGAATAAGACACTACACTTCCACACCACGTGCTTCGTGCCACACCTCGTGCACCATACAACACGACGTGCAACATTTCACACCATGAGCAACACATCACACACTAGTACACCTCAATACTATACCACACTACGTGTACCATACCACACTACACCTCCACACCATACCACATTACACCTCCACACCATACCACACTACACTTCCACAGCATACCACACTACAACTCTACACCATACCACACTACACCTCTACACCACGTGCACTATAGCACACACCACTACTCAACACTATACCACACCACGTGTACCATACTACACTACGCCTCCACATCATGCAACATAACACCTTCACGCCATACCATTTGCGCAATACCATACCGCACAACACGATACTCACCCCATACCATACCACATCACACCACCCAACTACGACACTGATATCACACTAAATCACGTTAACTGTGTTTTACCTCGTTAATTTAAATATATATTTGTTAAGATTTACGTAATCCGCTAGTGAAGGCACGTAGTAGGTGAAAGAGAGTTATGATGGTGACGTACGAAGCAGGAAGCATTATTTCAATCATACCTTAAAAGCCTATGTAGTAAATGTTTACACTCATTATTCAATTAGCAGCTTCTCATTTCTTACGTTTATGTGAGTCACAAAACCGGATATATTGGGCAATAGTTCTACATAGCCTGCTCTTTGGTCGGTAAGTTTTATTAAAGCCGTAGAATATAAGCGGTCGCTTGTGTAATTAAAGAAGACAAATACAGTTTAGAAATAAACGAGGAATTGCAACGAAGAAAGTGATGTAAAATCAACATGTGATCTAATTAAGTGTTACGTGTCGTAAATAGTGAATGTAGTGGTAACGCACCTCGCGGATCGAGGAACCCCTTAATCGCGGGAGTGATGTTTATGCATAAGGTATGACTATAAAGAGAAAGCTACATTCCGTTTAATAAACGCTAAGAAAATTTCAATTTTTGATCGTTAACGGCCCTACTAGAATTGATCGAATAAAAGCTGTGTTCAGTAGACAGTAGTGCATCACGTACAAAGATAATATTAAATAAATAATAAATAATGGTATTAACAAAGGATTCCATATAGTGGCTCTTCTTCCACAGGTTACCAATTAGAATTAAGAAGTTGGTTTTTGCGGAGGGAGGAAAGCCGAAGAACCCGGAAAACCCTCGAAGCACAGGAGAGAACCAACAAACAACTCTACTCACGTACGACATTGAACCCGACGGGACTCGAACCCGGGTCGCATTGGTGAGAGGCGAGCGYTAGTATTATCTAGCTAATATCAACACTATGTCACTATTTATTGAAGCGATATTCATCGGTCAACTATAAGTATTTACACATCCCAATGATTCAGACCACAATATGTACGTTCAAGCTTTTTTTGAAGACGCCGCCTTAGAACTGACCGCCCCAAAGAGATATCTTGAAAGAATTTTGAAATAAAGCTATTGTAAGCACTCGTATTGTTACACTTTGAGAGAATGAATTATATTGTTTTGCTGTCTTTTTTCCTTCCTCTTTGACGCTTTCTCTCTCTTTCTGTTTTTCTCTCTGACTTTCTCTTTCTTTTTGTAATGCTGTCTCGCGATAGTAATCCTTCTCCTCTCTTTCTCTTTGCTTACTTCTTTCTTTCTCTCTCGCTTCAGTTTGAATTCTTTCGTACTTWTTTTATATTTTGTTTTCCGTTGCTTTCTTTTTTCCTATCTTTTTTCTTCGCCTTATTCCTTTCGATCTACTTTGTCGACTTTCATACTTTCTTTCTTTTACATAGTCCCTTCTATACTTTTTCTTTCTTTTTTCTCTTTCGTTTTCTTTTTGTATTTTCAAAGTCAGGAATCCGTATTTCATGGCGTAGTGGAAGAGGTGCAGCTGCAGTCAGACGCTGTCCACGCCACACAAATCAAAGAAGCAAATGCACTTAGTAAAATAAATTGTATTTAAACGTTTCAACCAATGTAAACAATATGCCATTCAAGAAAGACTTATTTATGGACACCCAGGAAGCTATTCAAACTAGATCCTGTCCAAGATCTCCTGGGGATGGTACTAAGACAGGTGGTAGCGCGTCGCTTCTGATCCAAATCTAGCAATGTATTGTGAAAGTGAACGCTTCTATTCTTAACAAACGAGTTATTTTTACCACACACTTGACGAGATTAGACACAGAGTATAGTTAGAGCGCGATTAGTCTTCCAAGCTTCCGAAAACGAAAGTCGAAGATAATCTAACATTGTTTCTTGGCACGCAAGAAGTCACGTGGCATGACGTCAAACAGGGAACCCCTCGTGGTGTTGATAATCGTTTTGTGAATAAATCATACTGTGTTTGGAATGGTTTAAGTCTAAAGTTGAACTTTTAAAAATAGTGCGAGCAAATTCGTCTTTTCTTCAGAAGACGTGATCAAGAAACGCGTTATTTTGAGGATTCATAACGTCATTTATAGACCCCCCTAGACGTCAGCGGCCGCATTTGAAGCACGGGCGCCGCTAAGTCACTTTGTTATCACAAAACACGACTAATAAGCTAAAGCTTTGAATTCAAAACCAGAGTCAAACTGTAGAGTACGCGGTTAGGGAAATTGAAGAGTACGACAATGGGGTGGTTCCAATATCTTCTGATGGCGCGCGGAGGCGTCAACGTCAAATTTGTCAGAATTTCATATTACCCACTATTGCTAGTTTTCCTAGTTACGTTTACGTATTAATTTAGCCTATTGTCGTGAGGCATCTGTACACCCTATATCCCCCTTCAAAAAAAATAAATGCGAGTAGGATTTAGAAGATTTGCGACTGCTACGAATGCGTTGATAGAATGTGAGGATAATATTGCTAATTTACAGGATGAGCTCACGTGTTTCCTCAATTAATAATAACGTCTGCTCGTTGCGCAAAAAAACCCGCCTCTTAAAACTGCCATGTCTAAAATCTTCAAGCCTTAAGTGCATCTTATTGCATCACTTTATATCATATATTTCAACTTTATTGGCCTTATAAGAGCAACGAAAATGTTTCGCCATTGATCATTGCGCACCTGGTAAAATGTGCGCTAATATCCAGTGAAATTCATACAAGGCCGAAAGCCCCTCCAAAAAAGATACCTATATCCTGTTCTTAACTTTGGAGCCGGTTCTATGGGACAGCTGTCTTAGGGGATGTTTTAATACCAAGTCATTTAGAGGCGGATACTTCAGCCTACTCTAAAGTTTAAACGCCGGTCCTTGTGTTTTATTCATAGCTTTATTTGAATCGATATTTCGATGGAATATTTGAGAACGCTTCAAACGCGTGGGACGGAATTTACATCTCGAACGAGGCTAATTGGTGTGTGGGTTGCAAGTTTAGCAAATACTTTGGTTGATTATTGATATTTCGAGGCAATCAGGATTTCTTATTTGAAATGAAAAAAGTGTTTAGTCAACTGGACGAACATCCAGACATCTGTCCGCCCCGCTTTGAAAGCGCCGGTATTGAACACTTGAAAAAAAGGCTTTCACTTTGCGTATCTTACTAATTATGTGACATGGACAAAATTTAAAAGATGATCAAAGAAATAAATGGTTTAAGGTACTTGGACTAAGCAAGAATAAAAATGAAAAAGTGGAATAGGAATGGAAAATGGTCTGCTTTGCGAATAATAGTGCCTTCATGTATGTAATGTGAATGGAATAAATAATAATAATAAAGAAAAAAGATGAAGAAGAAGAAGAAGAAGAAGAGAGTGCCTTCATGTATGTAATGTGAATGGAATAAATAATAAAGAAAAAAGAAGAAGAAGAAGAAGAAGAAGAGAGAGAGAGAGAGAGAAAACAGGAATAAAAAAGGGGAAAAAAGGGGAAAAAAATAAAAGCGTGAGAACGGAAGCTAAGATTTCTTTACAAATGTTTCTTGGTAAATAAACTTTGAAAGACAAGACTTCAGAAATGAAAGTCAAAAGATAAAGAAAATAAGATATCAAAATAGTAAATTACAAGATTAAACAATAACAACATACCATTCCAGATATCGATACTACTACACACGCCAGAACCAGCACTAACACTGCTATCTGTATCTTCATCTTGAAATCCTCGGCACGGGCCTCGAGAGATCTCTTGTTCCACCGCACTGCAAGCCTCACTAAACCTCAGCTCGGATCCTACCTCTGGTCAAGAGCCTAAACCCACTGTGCCAAACATTTCATCCAAACGCTTAATAAATACCCCAAGTCTACGTCATCAAGAGTCTGATTTTTTTCGACGGAAATTGATTTTTCTTCAATTATGTTCTTTTTACTTAAGAGCTTACTGGGTAGAAAATCGGGCGTTCTGTATAGTTTTCCGCCTCCACTTTTAATTCATGATTTTTCATCGAATATATAAAGAATTGCTTTAATCGTAAACTATTATTAAGCTCGGCGCCCTTCTACTGTGAATATTTCTACAGGTTTTCTTTGCCTTGATTAAATAATACTCTCCAAGAATTGATACGATTTTTAGATTGATTTTATGTAAATCAGTCCTGTCTCTTGTGCAGTCATTTAAACACTCTTTTCCATTTTTGTGTAAATATGTTTGATTAATAAGTATTGCTCTCGTTTAAGATAGTTGTTACAACCTGCGCAAAATAAAATGAAAGTCTAATGTAGAAGTAACCTCAAAT